GCGGCCGGAGGGAGCGGGGCGGCCGGGGCGGCTCCGCTCGCCCGCAGGAGCCGAAAATGATGGGTTCCGGGGAAGGACTCAAAGCGATGAAAGGGGTTTAAACCTGCCTCGCATTTGGAAAGCCTCAGTGAACCTTGCCACGGTCTCATGGCACGTACAGCCATAGGTGGGTGGGTCGGTAGGCAGGTAGGCAGATGGGTAGATAGAAAGAAAGAATGCAGGCATGCATGCATGTCCTACGGTAACTTTACTGTGTTTTTTCCCCACGCAGTTGCTGCTGCAGAGCTGGGACGCTTGTTCCAAAAGTAATCTGTATGAATGCATGAGAAATTAAAAAATAGCAATCCGTAGTTACTATGGCTTTCAGGTGATATTTCATCTTGAAAGAGGTGGTTTCACAGGACCCAAATGTCTTCATATTTTGTGTGAAATGCTCTCCTCTTAGAGAAGCAGGACCCCTACCTTCTCTAATGCAAGAAGTATCTGCGTGTTGTGCCCTGCTACCCCAAACAGCCCATTGCAGGCAAATTGCCATTTGGATTTCACAGAAAGGGAATAAAATTAATTTCACGGAATGGATAGCAGAGCTGGGACTTGCCTTGCCAAATCCTAGGCGCATAACCCTAAATACTAGACCATTCTTCCCACAGATACCTTGTTGTAAGTTCATTGATAACATAGAGTTAATACAATTAAACTGTCGTACCTGAAGGAAAGGCTTCAGCTCATCCAATTTCTTCTAAGTGTTCTAGTGAGAGACATACTGCCTTACAATCAGTTTTCAGAAGTGATTTGAAAGGCAGTAGCAAAAAATCAATTTTGACAAAACAAGCTCTTAAGTATGATGGAAAACAGATGGGCTTTATGGAGTCCCATAATTTTCAAACATCGTGGACGAGATTCATGGTTCTTACAGGCAGCTGCATAAAGCACAGCTCTTGAACACCTTAGTCTGCCCAGTGTGACCCATAATGCTGACTCTACTTGAGTCCCATGCATGGTCACCAAGTTTATCACCAACATTAATCATCTGTCTACCAAATCTGCATTTTTTTCAGAAATGAAAGTGTTGATTATTTTGTGAATACTGAGATTTATATAAAACGTCATTTTTCATTACAAATTATTTCACTGAAGAAACACTGACTACTTGAATTTGACCTCAAGCCAGGTCATACCTAGAACGATAAAAAGAATTTACAGTTTACAGCCTGATCTGGTATTCAGTTAATAAATTTTAATCCTATGCAAGTTATTTTGTTTAAAAGTTTGTAAAAGGAGACAGTGGCTTTAAAGCAAAGATAGCCTTCATTTCAGTACTGGCTATAGCATAAGAAAAAGCCACCAAACTTGCTTTCAGACACCAGAACCCTCCTCAGTTCTAAAGAGATCATAGCAAACTTCACAGACATTACAATCCAGATACATTCTCTTCAAAACAATGTATTTTTAAAGTATGTCTCAGGCCACAACACCCAGAACAACTACATTACTTCTAATTATTAAAATTAGTTCTAATTAAATAGAAGCCTCAACTGAGATGCTCAGGAACAACATAGATGTGACTACAATATAATTATTTTTACTAGAGTCTCAAATAGAAACACGCTTAAGAGATACGGGCTTTTCGTACGGGCTTTTCCCAAGTACCAAACCCAGACTACCTACGTCTGGCCCAGAGAGGCAGCTTTGAACTCCAGCCTGTTAGGATAAAAGTACCCTGGGTAGGAAGGGGTAGTGGACGCAGTCAGAAATAGTTTAGGTTGGCGATTCAGGACAGGAAGCCTGGCCACTACTACGGGAAGTGCTTCGACATCCGAGCAGGATCAGTCTTGAATCCTAACTGTGTGGCACAAACCACAGGGCAAATTAAAACTTTGGAGCTAAAAGTGTGATTCAGACCTCTGGCACAAAGAGCTAGAACACAAGAATAGAAACTAGGCAAGCTGCTGCTGGTATCGGCTCAGAGCATGGGGAGTAAATATCAGGTACTGTAGTTTTTCAGTTCAGGAAAGTCCCATCCTGACCAGAAGGGTCAAAAATAGCAGCTCCCATGAGGTTAGAGGACAACTGTGCTGGAAGCCTTGCCACCCAGAGCTCTAGAAAATCTATTTCACATTGTGCATTGATGTGGAGTAAATAAAATTGACAAGGACGTACAAACCAGAAAGTTTCCTGGACCACAATAGTCCATTTTTGCTACATGCAAGGGATTATTATGCTTTTACAATTGGAGAGAATGAAGAGGAATAGCAAAGGTCACGTTGGAGTTTCGTTTCTATTGAACTGAGATTTCTTCTATTTTAATATTTTGCTATCAGCAATTATGATTTAATATTTTTATTACATCAAACCCCATAAATTTATTATATTAATATTCATAGTCACTCAATATAAAATACAAGCTTTCAAAACCATGACTTCCAAGAATGCTTCTGGCTTCCAGCATTTGACAGAGAACCTAACCCTTCGACTGCCACAAATCCCTGCAGACGAACGTGAATTTGCATAATTAACACAAACGCAGAGAATGCTGTATTTACTATGATGCATAACTGGGAAACCGAAACAAAATTAAAAAAAACACAACAAAACAGAGAAAGTGTAATATTTAAATAAACTTTTAGAGTTTTCAGTGAACTTTTATACGGTTCATCATGACTTCATGTTGTGCTGGACAGAAAAACCTTCATCGACTACTGCTGGAAAAGAATCAGCTCACTCAAGGAGAGCAAGCGCACACGAGTTCTCTGTCTGGTACAATAATGGACAAACTGACGTCATTATTAAAAGACAAATAATGCTGACTACATAGCAACCTGGCACCTGTTTCAGAAGGCAGATGGGACGTCTGGTCCAGCAAACGAGCGAGACTAGCCAATTTTGGTGGGAATTAAAACAAGATGCAGGTAGTTCAGACAAGGGTTTGGGGTTATTTTGTTTTTCAGAGATCTTGCTCCAAATATTGCAATTATGAAGTCTGAAAAGTAATTCTCAGGAAGCCCAAACGAAGATAGAAAAAATGCTTTAGTTTTATAAGTAAACAGTAACATGTTCTCTAGCACATAGCTGGCCTATTGATTTCAGGCTTTTATGTCAAACAAGAACACAGACAAATATGTAAAACATTAACTAATAGCAAGAGGTTGAAACAGTTTATATCCAAACTCAGGGTAAAATGGTTTCAAAATCACTTAAAATGTATGTATATATAAACAATTTTTTTTTTACTTTTTATTAAAATATTCTTAAATATATTTTTATACACAAAATATTTTTTATTTATATATACAAAGTATTCTTTGGAAATACGTTTTTAAATCTTTAGTAAAAACCTTGAAACTTCTGAAATATTCATGATGACAGCCTTAAAAAATACTTTTCCCCCCTAGTGACTTATATCCATTATCTCCATTGACTTCATATCCAACATTCAACTTTATATATATAAAGTATGCACTCCAGATTCTCACAGTAAGAGTGCTACACAACAGCACCAGTGACAAGATGGAGAATCCTTTGTGCTTCTGATTTAAAAAAAAAGTGGTTAAGTACTGAAAAAAATATGCCCATCTAAGTCATATACTGCCTGCTCAGTTTTGTGTTAAATGATGATTTTTGACATAACTCATACTTTAAAAGCAAGTACTAGTAGTATCTAACATAAAAGGTATTTATGCCACCTGCTTATAGGCATAGAATACATAAAC